CCTTAGCCGGTTGAGTTATAGGCGCCGAGCCTCACTTCCAGTTTTTAAAGTCATCTCTAACAAACTATCCCTTGATGTTTTCAGTAGCTCATGTGTATGTATGGTAATCGTCCCTGTTTGTTTCATCTGGGTCGGTCCTAGGTTTTCTTTCCGTACTCCCCATTTTCTTTTCCCTGTATGAAAACGTTCACACTCCTTCACGTCTTTGCTCCAGAGTCACCAATCAAACCCTGGCTCACAAATCTACTTCATCAGGGTCTGATATTCCAGCTACTACTCTCTTCTGAAATCAACTAGAGGAAAAGAGCATAATCACTCTGAGGAAAGTCCCCAAAATCATATAAAACATTTGCAAGTAGATTTCTTTGAAAAAACAAAAACATCTATCTGCAAACAAAACTATCATTGAATGCCTAAAATTTTCTTGAAACGTTTTATCTAAAATGATAAAACCAGTAGTTTGGGGGCTTTTTAAATATTAGTATTATCCTCTCAGTAGTTTTCATTTTTAATTTACTTCATAATTACTTTATACACTTCCCACTTCACAGAAGCTCTCACAGATTTTTAAAAAAGTATTAAACTGCACGTACTCAAGTTCAAATGATTATCAGAGTTTAAAAAACACTGAAATATTAAAACTTACCTAAATAAAAATTGCCTATTTAGATTGGAAACATCTATAGTGTCCATGTCTATAACATGAATCTGTCGAAAACCAGACAATGCCTGTGGGAGTACAAACAATTCAATTAACAGAAGTTTCCTCACATTTGAAAATTTGCTTTCAATATAATCCTAGGTCTACAAGTTCTCAGTAATAAATACTACATAACTGTACTCAATAGCTAAAAAAGTCTTGAAAGGTCTGTAAAATTCAAGGTTCCTGTTCCTTTATGGGTCCAAAATGTATAAACACTAAACTTTAGATAGTCTATAAACAAAAAAAAAATTAAAATTTCCAGTTATTTTTTATAAATAAAATTCCATAAACACATCTGCAAAGTTTGTTGTTTTGCTGCTGTTGATACTTCAATTTTATTAGTCTTACTAGTTAACTCTACTTACTATTGCTTTTCAAAATATTATCAAAAGCAATTCCTACAACCTCTATTACTTTACTTAACATTAAGCATGCCACAATTCAGAAATGGTAATTATTACATGACATATATTGTAAACACACACATGTACACTGCTCACCTAAAAGGAATATCTCAGAAGTACTGAGTCAAGAGTAAGTAATTTAAGAAGGTAAGGAAAAGCAAAAAAAAAAAAAAAGAGAGAGAGAGAGAGAGAGAAAGCAAAAACCAAAAATAATTAAGTCTCAATAACTAATTAAGACTTTTCTAGTCTTGGTCAATTTACTTTACGTCATCAAATCACTTAACAATAATTCCCCATTCTTCTATTCCTCCCCATTTATAGCAAGAGATCCTCAAAAGCTGTCCATACTTGTGCTCTAAAATTCCTGAATGTTTTCCAAACAAGCTTTTGCTATCACCCCTTCACCAAAACTACACTTGTCAAGATCACCAATAAGCTCTGTGCTGCTAATTCCAATGACCAAATCCTCAATCCATCTGACCTCACCCTTCTGAGGTATTTGGCAGGTGGATCACTTCCTCCATCTTAAAACATGTTCTTCACTTGGTCCCCACACTCATGAGAATTTGAAAACTTTTTAAAAACTGATTTCAAATTAATTCCATTTTCATCCTATTGTGCTGACCAGAATTTAGAGTGCTTGGTTTTGGTGATCTCAGGCAACCCTATAAACTAAAGACAGATCATCTAACATGCATCTCAGATTTAACAGTTTTAAAGCTAGGGCTCAGCGCCTGTGGCTCAAGTGGCTAAGGCGCCAGCCTCATACACTTAAGGTGGCGAGTTCGAATCCAGCCTGGGCCCGCCAAACAACGACAGCTGCAACCAAAAAAAATAGCCAGGCGTTGTGTC